AGTTTGGACGTCTCCTACTTGTTCCCTATATATAGCTGTCTTCATTATGATTTAGATTAAGTTGGACAAAGTTGTAAACTTAAGTCTTTATATTCTTTCTTCATATTATAATAAAATCTCATTTATTCTACAAATTACATTGTTCTTGTGTCTTTGAGATTTTTATTTCATACTATGACTATAATCTCTTATTTCCTTCAAGAAAAAGGTATTGGATTAATTTGGTATCATTTTCGTTTGACAACAAATTGGTATCAAAGCTTTTGGTTTTGAAATTTTTGGGAAGATTGATGTTTTGATCAAGTTAATAACGCAACTTGATTTTTCGTGATGACAACAATGAAGTATGATATTCCGTTATTAGATCGCAATATAGGATTTTCTTTGTGGCAGGTAAAGATGCGAGCAGTACTCGCTCAAATGGATTTGGATAATGCATTGTTGGAATTTGACAAGATGCTCATAACATGGACTATGGAGGAGAAATAACAGGGGGGATCGAAAGGCTATATCTCAAATATATCTTCATCTTTCAAATAATATTTTCAAAACATTTTGAAAGAGAAATCAGCCGCTGCATTATGATTAAAATTGGAGCAATTACGCAAGACGAAGAGTTTTATTAGCAAATTGCATATGAAGCAACATCTATATTCTCATTGTATGACATAAGGTACATTTTTTTGGGGATCACCTAACTGCTTTTAAAGAAATTGTCACCGATTTGGAGATTTTAGAGCTCAAATACGATGAAAAAGATTTGTGATTGATTTAGCCCATGTTTGAGCCACAATAAAATTTTCATTCTCATTCTTCTACTCATTTTCAACCACACATTCTTCAATAAAATAATATCTTCCATTACATCAATAACTTTTTCTTCTTTTTCAACCACACATTCTCCATCAATCTACTCTTTCAAAATAATGTGGCTCAAACACACCCTTATTGTGTTCATTGCCCGCTTCATACAAGTCTTTTAGAGACATGATTTTATACAGCTGTGATACTCTCAACATCGAAGAAGTCTATGATGTTCTATATCTAAAAGAGAAGATGGAACATCTTGTTGCATTTGAGGTTCGTGAAGATGACCTCATTATTGATGGTGGTCGTGGAAGAGGTAAGTCAAAATCTAACATCAAATTTTATAATTATTATAAGAAAAATGGACACTTGATAAATGATTATTATAAGTTGCAGATTAAAAAAAATTTGACTGTAAATCAACAATCAAAAACTTCAGGAAAAACAAGTATTACAGAAGATAGTAACAGTAATGGAGAGTTTTTACTTACAATGTTTGACTACAACTCTAAACCGACGATGCTTGAATTTTTTGTACAACTTGCACTTTCTATATATCTTCTAATCGAGATTTGTTTTCAACATATGAAGAAGTTGCAAAAGGTGTTGTGATGATCGGTAATAATATACCCTGTTGGATAGCTGGTATGGTCGGGTTAGAATAAAAATGTTTGACATGACGGTTAGAACACTTGATGTAATCGACACATTCCAGATTTGAAGAGAAATCTTATCTCCTTGAGCACTCTTAATTCAAAATGGTACAGGTACACTATTGAATGTGGAGTCCTGAAAGTTAGTAAAGGAGTTCGTGTTTTGTTAAAGGGACATAGAAAATTTCATTTATATATCTTGCAGTGTTATACAGAATTTTTGATCAAACAACATAAGAACTCAAATGGATTTGGAGTTGGATTCTATACCATTGGAGTCTAATTTGGGGTCTTTTTCGAAGAATGCATCTCATTTGAATTTTGAAGTTATAGGTAAATCCACTTGTCACCATTATCGGCAGTGTCATTGTGTTCGATTGCTAGTAACAAACCCATTTTTCGCCATAAGACTCCACATATGTACAATTATGTTAATTTAGTCGATTGTTTGAATGCGGTAAAGGGTGTTGATTCTAGCGAAGATCCTTCTTTACAGAGCTTGTTTCAGCCTTATTGGTGGTCATTAGATGACTTTTTGCCAATAATTTGGGTAGCAGGGGTGGAGAATATTTTTAGTTGAAATTTTTTTTTATAGAGAAGTCTGTTTGTATTTTTGATTAAAGAGTTCTAGTTTATTCTTTGCAGTGTAATTTTTTCAAGTGGAGAGTTTTTAAAGTTTGTTCATTGCAGTGGAATTTGTGTCAATGTGAAATTTGTTAGAATTTGAGTGTAACCTGAATTCTTTGTTGAAAATAATTGAGAATTCTAATTAAAGGTATGTTAAGAGGATTTCTATGTGAAATGGTATTGTAGGCAAATTCTAATTGAAATTTTATTTGGAAGCTCTAGTGGAAGTTGAAAATTGTGTTGAACTTAAAGAGATTGAAATTATGGAACATTTCGTATTTTCGCTAGCTTGGGGCTAGCTGGGCGCTTGAGTGCCAAAAGTAGAGAAGCTAGTGCCCACCTAGCGCTAGCCTACCACTCGAGCACCAGGGCGTCGCTAGCCTGATGCTAGCCGCTTGCTCGAGTGGCAGTATTTCCAACTCAGGTCCCTTTTCGTGTTTTGACGAGTTTTTTTGTATTTTATTTCAATTACAACTCTACTATTAACATTTAGATAAAGTTAGACAAAATTTTAAATACAAATCTTTGAATTCTTTCCATATTATAATGAAATCTTATTTACTCTGCAAATTACATTGTTCTTGTGTCTTCATCAATTTGGAGTACGATGGGTGATAGAATTTAACATAGTGATGAAAATTAAAATTTAATGATCCAAATGAGATTTCACTAAAAGTTCAATGAAAACAGATGAAATTTATCCATGCCTCTTTGAATACAATTTGAACCAAATACAAACAACCAAACCCCTTTATTCTGAAGCTCTTTATGCTTCTTAGGTAACACCTTGCAGGCCAATAATGTTGGATGGAAAATTTGACCTTTTATTCTTTGGCTAGAAATCAATCCTTGACGAAATTACATTAATTTCCTAAATACAGAATACAACTACAAATACAATAACTATGTAATGGGTAAAGCTCATTGGTGTAATGGTGGCTAGAAATTTTCTCTGCTTAGAAAGCATATAAGCATGTTTTGAGTTGTTTATAATTTATTTAAATTATATAAAGATTGAAATGAGTGGTGGATACATGTATATTTATGGGTCTTAGTAAATTTGTGGATAAAAAGTAGTTTGATTTATTATAAACAGATCACAAATTGAAGCTAAACAAGGACTTAGTGCAACAAATAGACGTAATTAAGTGAACAATTAACAAATTTATTCATACCCTTTTTGTTAATCACATTTGTTAGGTTTTTGATGTAATGGAAAATCTATGAACAAAAATGACTAGATTTAATGCGTTGTAAAAGTCAATGAGTAATGTGTAAATATTATAAATTGAATTGTATTAGGTATAAAGTTTGAGAATGGAAAAGAAAGAAAAATGATGTCGTAATTTCACTAAACTATCACAATGACTTGGCTCGAGCAGCAGAAACAGAAACATTATTGCTAGCTTGTCGCTTGGCCATCGTTCGAGCGACACACTGTCGCTAGCCTGCCGCCTAACTTTGGCTTGAGCGACAAGGTTATCCGAAAAATTTTAATTCGTATTTTTAAGACTTTTTATCCAACTCATTCATTCCTAAACCTACAGTATAAATACCAGAACACCTATGAACGTCTTTTCTTAAGGTTGAATATTGATAAAACATTGATTAATTCATATTCTCTCCATTCATAGCTTTCAACCTTCATTGATTGTTTTGTCCTTGACATTGAAAACATCAAAACCATTTAATCCAAATACTAAATTGATGTTTCCTACACATCTGTTAGAGTGATGAAGATCAAGTGAAGGTAACTGGAGTTCCAGTTGTTGAAGAACACGGAGTTCTTTGTTGATCCACAGGAGATACACGAATTTATAAAGTTGGAAGTTGGTGCAGGAGCACGCAATCCTGGAGAACTGTGAAAATTGCAGTCAGGAGGTCAGAAAGTACTAGTGGTAGTCGAGTCTGGCGGACTGTAGGTTCTAATTCGTTTATTGTGGATTGTTGACTGGCAAAGTGCCCGGAGTTTTTATCCAATTGGAGATTTTCCGTAATCATTCCTGATGTTTATTTATTGCTTTCATATAACTGCGGTATTTCAACATAAGAAAATTGGACTATTTAATTAACCATTTATAGATAATTAATAATAACTTGTTAGTTAATTATTAAGTTTTAATACCGCATAATCACATATTCACTCCCTAAGTATAGTTTGAGTCGAACCTCGTTATTTCAACATTAAATCTTATGGCATGCCAGAAAAGCATGTTGCTTGATGTGCACAATCATCTACGTCAAAAATTTTGATGAACATGGTAAAAAACAAAAAACAAAGAGAAAGTCATCTTTATTAAAATTACTATATTATTTAAAGGAGATTAGAATTGGTAAGTGGGCATGACTTTTCCCAGGAAGTGACATATTAGCAAAAGTTGAAAACAGCCCTTACTTATTCTGGTCCATTTGACCAACTAAATTTCAAAGATCTTCAAGCCCCACAAAATAGTGGAACTGTTATCCAAATCTGGATTTGGATTAAATCAAACATTCCTCCATTCTGTTATCCTTTAAATTTATACAAAATGATTTCCACATTAAATTGTCGTGGTATGTTTGATAAATTTAGTGCATGTTCGAGAAGTGATTAAATTAAAATGTAAGTTATCATAAGTTATGATTTCTATAAAATATGTGGATAAAACTATGTTTGATCAAAAGTGATTAAATATAATCGCTTTCTAAACATGCTCTAGCTGATTAGCTAGGGCTTGACACAAAATAGACAAAATGTATCACATTTTTAATTGGTCAAATTCATTATAATGTACAACATATAACCTTTGATTTTTCATCTAGTCGAATCCTTATGATGACATGTTTGATAAGTTGTTGAACGATAAACCTTATCACATATTTCTAGACTCATTAGCGAATCTAATACAACATACAGAATGTAAGGTCAATTCTTCACCAAGATGAAGAATTTTCAGACAAACTAAGGAGTTCCTCCAAATATTCAGAACCCAAGTCCTCCAAAACCACCAAGTTTTCCAGCCTAAGCTCCTTTTCTTTTCTCTTATTGTTACTCACTGCTTTCCTCTTCATGGTGTGTCTTTTCTTCAATGCCAACACCGGCGAGCATCCGGCCTCGAAACCGTACTTCATCTCTTTCAGTGACTCGTAAACAACCTCCGTCGGAAAGTTGAGCACGGCAGTAGACCCTCGCATGGCTAATGCTGCTTGATCATAAGCCAAGGCTGCTGCTTCTGCAGTGTCAAAAGTTCCCAACCAAACTCTCACACTATTCCTCGTAGAATCCCTTATTTCCGCGGCGTACTTTCCCCACGGCCTCCGGCGCACACCTCTGTATGTAACTTCCTTCTCCGGTGAGTACTGCATTAGATCAGACATCTGTTCCGATGAGGAGTCCACGCCGGCTTCTGCTAATACTCCATAGAGCACCATCTCTTCGGAGTCATTTTCGTTGAAAGGAAGATGTTGGGATTGAGAATGGTGGTTTGCAGATGGCAGAATTTGATTGTTTGTGTTCAAAGAGTAATGGAGGAAGGAAGAATCCATGAATGAATTTTTCAAAAGTACAAATTCTTATAGCAGAGTGTAAGGGTTGAATTCTTGTGTTTTACTTTGAACTTTTCTGCTTCTTACTTATAAGTGGTCTTTGGTCGTAAGAAAATCTTGTAACATATAAACTGCAAGAACTTTGATTATATATAGGAGCCCAAGAGGGGTATTATTGTCAAAACAAAAGTTTGGTGCATGCAATGAACCTTACAACATTTTATTTGTCACCAGTCTTATTTTTGTTTCGATCTTACAACAACAAACTATTCAACGAAAACTTATTCAAATAAAACAGAAAGTTTGGTGCAACCGTGCAACCCAAGATTGCACGTGGGTCAAATGATTTTTGGTGACGTCATCTTATTATGTCATTCCATATGGGGTCCACTTTGCACTAGGATCTACATGGAACTTTGCATGAGTGTGTGGGCCCATAATTGATTGAAAATTATTTTGAATTCAAACCAATGGTTAATGGTTTGGTTGACGTTGTGTGAACAATTATCCCTTTGGTTTTCGAAAATGAGTAAATTGAAAGACCATTTGACCATATAATGGCCACAATTGAGCCAATTTGCGGGTCAAAAGTTTTTTGTGATAATGAAAGTCTAGCACAATCCTAAGTATGGTGCTATCATAATTAGAATGACGTTATTTATCAATATAATATTGAACCATCACCTTATACCATAATTAAGTGAAATTAAACATAAATATAAGATTATAAAAATTATGTTATTGGACATATCATTTAATTTCATCGAGAAATGATAATCCAAACAGACCGCCGTCCACGTGTAAAACTTCATGTTTTTTCATTGGCTATTTGATATAATTTAGAAGGTGGGATTGTGGTGCATGAACCAGGTTATATATATTTGTAACAATACATTAATTTGGTGCATAGTATTAACAAAAATTAAAAAAAATACATATAATAGACAAAAACTTTCAAGGTATTTTTCTTCTTTGGTTAATTAATTGTTTCTATTACTAATTGAATCTTAATTTGAGGCCAAACCAAAAAAATTGAGTATATAAGTTTAGAAATCTACATTGCATACTTTTGCTACAAATAATGAGTTTCTACTTGGTACCACTAGTGATTTATTCGATGAAGTGAGTGGTATAAAAGAATCGTATAATCAATTACGAATAAAAGAATTCCCTAGTTTATTATTGTTACGAAGAATCAAAGTCTTCTTCTTTTTTTTTTTTCTTTTGGCATTAAAGAATTATTTTTCTATATGGGTTTTATCAATGAATCGTGACATCATACATCATAAAAATGTACATTTTTTGGTCAAATCTATAGACTACAACATGATTATTATGCACTATCAGACCGTAAGTGCACGGGATTACTCATAAAATTTTAACATCACGTTTAATTTTTAGTATACATTATCAAGTTCAATGTATATCCAACACACTTTCTCATAAGAAAATTCAATTAATATGAAATGGTTTTGAGATTATAGAGAATGGTCAACAATTTCATGAGAGTAAGTGATGTGTTCTAAGTTCCAGAAGTTTTTAATCTTCTCATAAAGTTGTGGTCAAAAGTTCCAATATGGATATCTTTTAATATTAATATTCATATGTACTGTTTGAATATTATATAAGATAAGTGTGACGTTTTGAATAGGATCTACTTTATTATTGGAAGTTTGATTTATTATATTTTGTCTGCCTTTTCCCATTGGCAAATGAAAAGTGGTCTTAAAGCAATGGGGGAAAGAAATTTGGTCATACAATGTTAATAAAACAAATGTGTGCACGTGTCATGATGAATTGATGGACATATGGAGCCCTAATTCTCAAATGTTATGATGAAAAGTGCTTTGCTAAATGGTTTAGTAAAAGTCCTGCAAAATCGACTCAATACGGTGAAGTTCTCCGTACCCAGAAAATATCTAAAGTTAAAATCATGTTAAGATAGCTTTCTAGAGTGCTTAAAAGCATGATTAAATGCAAGAGTTTGAATCGGATTCAAACTCTTGCTGCAAATAATGCAATATAATATAATAGCACTGTGAGAATTTAGTCCACTCGAACATTTCTTCTAAGAGTAGCATATTTTCCAAAATAATAAGCCATGCTTCGAAGTAAGTTCGATGATCGAGCAAAATTTAGATGGCCCATAAACAAATAGAATGACACTTTCGATTATTTATGGGATTTTTGTTGCTCTATTTGATTTAGATATTCATCTGATAAAAGATCTCACGAAAGCAAGTGCTTGCTTTTGAGAGTTCAAACTATAATTTAATTAGTGAGTCACGCAAAATGTATACATAAGTGGATAATACTTGTAGGTCTTACGAAATGTGATGATAAAAATTAAAAAGTATGTTTGATCAAAAATGATACATTTAAACTCTCCCAAACAAGCTTCAAATCCTCTTCAGCTATTAAATTTGGATTTTTCTATTTTTTTTGTACATGATTTCTTGCCCACCTTGTTTATAAATGCAATGTTGGCAGAATGTGATTGGCTACCAAAACTTTTTTTTTTATTATTATTATTTTTGGGCAGAAAGGCATTATGTCAAAGTGTGTGTGTGGATTTTTTGTACACAGCCTCATTAAATTTTTGAACTGAAAATTTGAGGAATAGATAGGAATAAATTCATGGAACTATTGCAGTGAACACGGAATCAGTTCACAACTGCACCAAGAAGTAGTAGGCTATATGGATTCATGTGTTCCATCTCGTAAGTTGAGTAATGGCATTTATGTGTCGGGTCGCCCTGAGCAACCAAAAGAAAAAACTCCCACAATGAGCTCCGTTGCCATGCTGTACACTGGTGGCAATATCAAAAAATCGGAAGAACTCGGTAAAATGTTTATCCCTTTGGATGGCTCTAGATCTAAAAAATATGGTCCCATTAACAGTGCTCCTTCAAGGACAGGGGCTTTCGGTGGTTCTACATCACTATTAAGCCAGTTAAATTCAGGCAATCGGGTGGGTTAAAAACCTAAATTTGGGGTTTGCAGATAAAAAAAAATAAATTATTCGTTGGATTTCTAAACTGGTATAGAATGTTGATTTAGTTTTTATGGAGACATTTTTCTGTTTCTAATTAATTATTGATTTCCTCTATCTAATTGTTATACTCAAAGGTAATGACTGCAGATGCTCCATTGTTTATGAATTCCCAGCTTAACGGTTTTCCTTTGAGCAACATGGGGTTTGTGGATTTGGAATGCGGGTCG